GCAATGCGACACTACCAGTTCCGTGCCGAAATTGATAATCCTTTTCAACCGATTTCAAAAAAGGAGGTTCTAAATTCGACTGTATTCATTATGTTACTCATAACTCTGTTATTTATAAACCGGTTTGGAAAATTCTTTTTTTTTTAATGACTTTATCTGATCGGTTTCATAGAAATTTTATTAAAAGTGGTTCAGTAGTTTTTAGATTAAAGCCATAGATTTTGCCGTAATTAAAGTCGTTTTTTTAGGAACACAATCTTAAGTTTTTTTTTATTCAACTTAGAATGGCAAGCAAGCTGACGGCTCACCTGATGGAAAGCGGTAACCGTTGTTATGGAAGCACTTCCAGTATGTGGCACGTCTAGTGATCTTAAATCAGTGTAATTATATATCTGTGTTTAGGTCGCTATGGTAACTAGATGTTCAAATATGGTTGTTGATTGTAACATAAAATATATTATTCTTTGCTAATTCTCTTTATTCTCTTTAATATGGTAGCAGAGCGTTCGCGACCTCGGTAAATAGATAGTTTGTAAAGAACAAAGGTTCGGAGAGAGTGTAAACATGTCTACAAATGTAAAACTCGACATTCGACCGTTCGACGGAACTAACTGGACCACTTGGAAATTTCAAGAGTTGATGCTGTTGAGAACACACGCCGGAGCCTTGGAAGCGGTTCAAGGGACACTCACAAAGCCAACACATCCAAGTACCACTGCCACACAGGGAGCTATATCGACTTATAAAGCAGAGTACGATGCTTATGAGCGAATCAATAGCACTGCATTTTTACTACTCACCACCAATATGACAGAGAAAATGCTCGCCAAAGTTATGCGTTTTACTACAGCTAAAGAAGCTTGGGATGAACTGAACCGGCTTTATGAAAGAGTATCACAAGATCGCTTTTATGATGTCTGCATGCAATTCTTTGGATACAAGCTTGATCCTACTCACGATATGGGGACACACTTGACTACAGCAAAGAATTTATGGCATGAAGTAAATCTGATCTTAATGAAACAAGGCAAGACCGAACTACCAGAGATGTTGTTGATATGTAAAATTATGGATTCACTTCCTGAGGAGTACTTCAATTTCAAATCTAGTTGGGCCTTGATGTCAGTGAATGATCATACGATAGAGAACTTGACTACTCAGCTGTGCGCATATGAAAGGTCTTTAAAGAAAAATATAGATGAAGGTGAAAGTAGCAATGAACTTCTTATGGTACGAGGTGAGAAACGTAATGAGAAGCAAAGTAAGAAGAAAAAGTTCAAATGCAACTATTGTGGAGAAGGGTTTCACAAAGTCAGGTCATGTAAAAAGTGGATTGCGGATGGTAGACCTCCAAAACCTCAAAAGCAATCTACGAATGCAGTAATGTCGACAGGTCTAGCTCTAGCTTGCAATGATAAAAATCTTCATAAAGAATCATGGTACGTAGATAACGGCGCGACAAGTCACGTAACTAATAGGAGAGATGTATTTCAGTCTTTCGAGTATTTTCATGATCCTCATACAATTACGACTGCTAACGGGGACGGAATTGAAGCCATTGGCAAAGGTTCTATCCAACTTGAAGCTGATATAAATGGACAAAAACAGTTGATAACATTGACTAATGTATGGTATGTACCAAGTATACAACGAAACTTGTTCTCTGTACTAGCTGCGCAAGATGTGCTTAAAAATAGTCTTTTTCAATCAACTGCTCGATCATGTTGTATGAAGAATAATGGTAAAGTGATTTTAGTTGGAAATCGTGAGGAGCATGGTAGTTTATATAAATTAAATGTAAAGCTATTAATGCCTAAAAATGAAGCAAACCAGTTATCGACGCTACAGAATCTTCAGCTGTATCATGAACGCTTAGGGCACCAAAATTGTCGTCATGTAGCTAAATTAATACAAAAAGAGCTTGGAATAAGGCTAGATTCCAGTTCTGCTGACATTTGTGAAGGCTGTTTCTTCGGCAAGAGCCACAGAAAGAAGTTCGGAGAAAGACCTAAAGCTACCAAACCTGGAGAGCTAATTGTCACAGACGTATGTGGACCATTTTCTTATTCAATTTCAAAATTTAAATATTATGTTCTGTTTAAAGATCAATACTCGAAATATCGTTGGATCTACTTTTTGAGACACAAGTCAGAGGTACACGCTCGCTTGAAGGAATTTCTAGCTGAAGTTAATACTTCTGGACACGTCATTCAAGGGTTGTTGAGCGATAATGGAGGAGAATTTGATAACGAACAGGTACGTAATACTTTGAAAGAATTTGGAATAAAGCAAATGTTGACAATGCCATATACTCCTGAACAAAATGGTTCTGCTGAAAGAGAGAATCGTACAATTGTGGAGATGTCAAGAGCACTTATGCATGCTCATAATGAGATACCAAAAGGTTTATGGGCTGAAATATCTAAAGCTGCAGTCTATATACTCAATAGAACGGGACCAACTCCAGTAGATGGAAAGTCACCGCATGAGCTATGGTATAATAAAAAGCCAAAAATAAATCATCTCAGAATTATAGGATGCAATTGCTATGTACATATCCCAAAACAGAAAAGATTGAGAAAGTTAGAGAGTAAAGCTGAGAAAGGAATACTTATTGGGTATGATGGAGATGAAGGATATCGCGTTTACGATGTGAAAAATCTGAAATTGATGAGATCACGTGATGTAGTATTTGATGAGAAATCTTTACTAGAAAAACGCAAGATTGACAAACCTCCAGAAAAACCTAATGTAGAGCCAGTAGGAAATAAAACATATGTACTACCAATACCTTGTGCAAATTGTGGAACTCATTTAAATTCACCTATAGAGACAAATGGTAGGGATGAAAATATTCAATCGTTTAGAGAAGATAATGAAAGGGATGAAAATGAAATAGAGGCAACGATGGGGCGACAACTTCGTGATCGTAGCCGAATTAAACCTCCTGAGAGATTCAATTTTGAGGAAGTTATTAATGAGGCTATATCTGTTTCTGAGTCATCTTTATACCAAAAAGTCTTAAACAGTCCTGAAAAGGATAAGTGGATTGAGGCAATGAATAAAGAAATAAATTCATTATATGAGAATGAGACATTGAAAATTTTTGATTTTGATCTCAGATGATTTCAGATTTGCTAAAGAACAGAAAAGGATTACAATGCAAATGAGTATTTAAAATTAAAAATGAATCTTAATATGCCTACTCTACGCATTGACTCTACAATCAAATTAGTACATAATCCATCATATGAACTACACCATAAAGCAAAACACATAAAGCCGATACACTTCTGTGTAAGACACTGTGTATGTGAAAGAGAAGTCACTATAGAAGAAGTATCAACTGAAGAACAGCTTGCTAATATTCTTACGAAGCCTGTTTACAAGCCAATGCTAATAAAGCTATATAATGAGTTTGGCTTGAAAAAGGAGAGGGAATGTTATGGAAGCACTTCCAGTATGTGGCACGTCTAGTGATCTTAAATCAGTGTAATTATATATCTGTGTTTAGGTCGCTATGGTAACTAGATGTTCAAATATGGTTGTTGATTGTAACATAAAATATATTATTCTTTGCTAATTCTCTTTATTCTCTTTAATAACCGTCGCCTATAGACATGAGCAGTACCATGGACATAACAGAGTATACTGTTTCGCCCATGATACCCTCCATGCGTTGCCATTCCTGAGGACTCAGGTGTTATTCCTCTGTACCCTGTAAATTCACGCCATATCCCACCCTTCAAACCGAAACACAACTATACAAACACAGCTGCTTCACGGTTGAAACACGAATGGGACAGAGGTACCCAAGCAATCGACTTTTGTACAAAGTCTCCCTCTGGTTGAATATTAATCTAGGAGGGACGGCATAGAAGGCGACTTGATAGGCCGTAATCTCTTCCTCACACTATATAAATGATTCTTTCTATTTTTCTTCTAGTAAATTTGTAGAACAATTAATAAAATAATGCATTTTCTTATAATGCATTTGACGCATGGCTTAATTTGGTAAACAAAATGAATGCGCTTTAAACGTTCTGATAATAATAATTACAAATATAGCAAAGAAAATATAGCAAGAATGCAGAATTCATGCAAATTATTTATTATTGTTAATATTATTATTCAAAGAAAATACTGGTAGTACATGGTACTGCTCATGTCTATAGGTGACGGTTACTACTTTCCATCAGGTGGGCCGTCAGCTTGATTGCCATTCTAAGTTGTATAAAAACAAAGATTAGTAGTCAATTCCTCTAGAATTCTATGGATAACTAACTAACCTTATAATTTCTTACACAACGAGTCTTCTGTCATTATATACCATTAGCATAGGCGATGCGTCATTCAATTAGGAAGGGGGGGGGGGGGGGGAGCGGTATAATGTTCATAATGGGAACTAACAGTTCCATTAATAAGGTTACCTTTTCAGGTTGATTTCCACGTGGGCCTCCCCCGTGGCTACTTTTTTTTAAATTCATCAGGACAGATGAATGACGAATAATAGATGAATCGGAGCATTTGGCGTTCCATTGTTTCTGCCTACCCTAATGGGGGAGAGGCGTGACAGATATGTATGTATGTGTGTATGAATGACCTGACCTGACTTGAATTGATCCCTTCAGCGTTTACCATTAACGTAGGCGTTACTCTTCTACCCATACGAAAATTAATTATTTAATTGTAGTTAGTGTTATTATTTAAAAAAAATTGTGTAAGATAAAATTTTAATACGTTTGTTTAGGCAATAAATTTCAGAATCGGTTTTTTGGGAAGATATGTGTATTGTATCAACAATAAACAAACATAAAAAAGAGGAGAAATTATTTATTTTTATTTTTTTTATTGATTATTAAAAATGTATTCCATTTTTATCTATTGAAACAAAAAATACCCATGTAGTAGAATAAACTACCCGAGCATTGGTTATAGAACATCCATGGTTTTATGTGGTCATTTCTATATATAGCTAATATAATTCAATTTCGTTGCAGTTCCCACGGCGCATGTGCAAGGTGTCCTGGGTAAGAAGGCTGCCTTACCATGCGACATCCAGCCGTTAGCAGCTGGCGACCATGGTTCTATGGTACTGTGGTTCAAAGAGGCCGACGGGGAGCCAATATACAGGTCTGTGTTTTTTTAATACTTAGAATGACAAACAAGCCATCGAAAGGTGGTTATATTCGTCTACATATATGAAGCACCATGGACGACACGTAATACTCTGATGCCCATGCGTTGTCAGTACTGAGGGTTATGGTGTTATACCGCTTTAACAATATCTTGGATATTTGAATACAATTTGAAATAATACAATAAGCTACCACGGCTTCTACTCAAGAGTTTCTAAGCCACTTTCGTTATATCCGAAGGATTCTAGGATGGCTGACCGTATGATGGCTTTACATACTTGCAGAAGTACAAGGGAAAATCAGTTATAAACAGGTTAAACATGATTTTGAAAATTCAGAAGATTAGACTAGATTTCTATGCCTCCGTATGCTATAATTTCTCTGCCATATTCCATATCTCGGTCTTGGCATAAAATAGGCAATCCCTTCCGTTCCTGTGAGTGTTATAAGAGGCGACTAAGGGAACATAATGATCGAGAATTGGGCAGCAGTGTTCCTCTTAAAAAAAAAAAACATCAAAAGCCAAACTTCGATTGCCAACTTGCCTGCTAAGAGTGGCACTACTAGTAAAATCTTCCAACGGTAAACTGCTATGAGGAACGGCCCTGTTTCTTATGACAGTCTATAGTGCCCACGCTGCACTGGGGGGCAATTTGTTAATAAAGGGGGGGGGGGGATTTGCAATTAAAAAATGGACTCGAAGCGATTATAACCATCTTGCTCCGGACCATTTAAATGCAATGCTACGAGTAGATATCGGTGCCAAATATCGGGAAAAATTATGTATGGGGGCATAAAAATTTTAGAAATGTTCAAGTGGGGCATGGCACAAAAAAGGTTGGGAAACACTGGTCTGTAGAATAGGCTTATATTCAGCTCTGGGCAGATAACGGCTGATATGATGACGATGACGATTCCATCCGTTAAACCGAAACAGCTGTTTCTCGGCAAAAACATGTGTGGGTCAGAGTTATCTTGCCAGACGACCTTTGTACAAAATCTTCTTTGGTAAATTTTGTTATGCTACGAAGGTAACAAACAAGTATACAGCCTGTCTAACGATAAACAGTCACTGTAGCCGATGGACGCCTATAACGCTAGGGGTGTCACATGCGCGTTGTCAATATTGAAGACACTTTAATATACCCTTTTTGAAGAACCCCATACTGTAGTCTCTAGGGGAAACCTTGGAAGGGAGCTCATACAGTTGATATATCGTATTTGTAATTATTCTAATTGAAATACGTATTGATTGTGCTTTTAATATTAATTCTGTCACAAATAGTTATGACGTCCGAGGCCGCCTGGCTTCTCAGCCCAGGCTCTGGTCTTCCATAACTGGCTTCGGGACCAGAGCGTACTTCCGGGCAGCGGCCAGCCCGGCTGTACTGTTTGTGGACAACGTGATGTCTTCAGACGCTGGCATCTACAGGTGCAGGGTCGACTTCAAGAATTCACCGACGAGGAATCTGAGATTAAATTTTACTGTGATAAGTGAGTATTGGCTTTTACGTACATGCTGTATGTTAGAAATTTAGACACCCTTTATGCTTTCGATTTTTTAATCAATTTGTTTTTAACCGACTTTGAAAAACGAGGTTCTCAATTCGGTTGTATATTATTTTAAATGTTTATCCCATAACTTCGTTAGTTATAAACCGTTTTGGAAGATTCTTTTTTTTATCTAAAAAGATATAATATACCGGCCATGCGGACGAGGTCGCGGGTAAAAACTAGTAAACAAAAAAGTATAAAAGCATTAATAAGAATTAAAGTCGGGTAAACATAGTATAGGGCGACCCGTAGCTAAATGGAGTGACGACCTAAAATGTGTTGCAGAGAGTCAATGGATGCGGGTGGCTCAAGACCATTACTTATGGCGGTCTATGGGGAGGCCAATATTCAGTGGTGGACTGTGAATAGCCGAAATAATGATGATGAAAGTTCATTTGCCATCTGCGAAAATACTTCGTAACATCTACACAGAAATAGAAATACTTACCAATATTGTGAACTAGCTGTTTCTAACTCTGAGTACAGAAGTACATAATGTATCCTGTGTATAAAATTACGTTATTTGTGTATCAAATTTTATTTTAAATCCTTTCAGTAGTTTTTGAAGAGATAAATAGCCATATATACATATAATCACGCAAACTTTTGTATTTTTATTTTTTTTGGTTTGAAGGGTGGGATATGGCAGTGAGTTTACAGGGTACAGAGGAATAACATCTGAGTACTCAGGAATGGCAACGCATCTTGAGTATCATGGGTGAAACAATATACTCTGTTATGTCCATGGTACTGCTCATGTCTATAGGCGACGGTTATCACTTTCCATCAGGTGGGCTGTTGTTTGCCATTTTAAGTTGCATAAAAAAAGTGGACGAAATTGCCAGTAAAAGCTACTAAAAACACTATGGAACTGAGCATTTTATTCTTTTTTAAGTCTGTTAAAAGTCAACTAACATACCTACGATAACAATATTCGGGCCACTTAAAAGTTGAAAGTGTTAGCGTAATAAATTCACTTATGTTTGTTAGCTACGAAGTTTCGTACAGGCTTGTATCTCGTCAGACTGAAAACGAAGTATTGTAATATTCCTTGTTATTAATTAAATTTGTTACAACAACAGTCGGGTAACGTGGTATATTTTTAATTTACATCAATAATTAACGCGATTCCATAAAGGAAGAAGTTTTCTGTTTATTTATTTATTATACGTGTACATAAAGTCATAAATAAACCCTTGTTTACTGTAAAAAATATTTTGTAAAAATGTTTAATGTAAAAATTTTTTTTATAGTAAATATTAGTAATACGATTTTACAATGCTATTATAGTTATAAATACATATAAATATAAAATTTTACCTATTTACTTAAAGTTTTTACATACATACCAGAGGGAGACTTTGTACAAGAGTCGTTTGCTTGGGTACCTCTGTTCCATTCGTGTTTCAACCGTAAAGCAGTTGTGTTTGCATGGTTATATTTCGGTTTGAAGGGTGGGATATGGCGTGAATTTACAGGGTACAGAGGAATAACATCTGAGTCTGATTGGCAACGCATGGGGGGTATCATGGGCGAAACAGTATACTCTGTTAGGTCCATGGTACTGCTCATGTCTATAGGCGACGGTTACCACTTTCCATCAGGTGGGCCGTCAGCTTGTTTTCCATTTCAAGTTGTATAAAAAAAAACATAATTTTAATAATTGATTAATATTGATTTTGTACCAACATTTCCTTTATATTACTTTTGAATTCCTGAGTTCTTTGTTCGTCTTTAACATAGTCGGGTAATTTATTATAAATTTATATTCTGCGATGGTACGGTCCGGACCCATAAATCTCTAATTTTAATTCGGGACGAACAGAATTCATTTTTTTTTAGGTATAATGCGCAATTATTGCTTGAAGCCGAATTTGAACCGATTTTAACATAAGGTTTATGACCATTTTAATTATTTATTTATATTTTAGTGTACATAATAAGAATATACACAAAAATATGGCAATAGAAAGCGAATATACAAAGGCAACCTTAACTCTGCAAGAGTCCATCGCTATCAATGTACCTTATCGGGTCGACTTCCACGCGGTTCCCCCTGGAAACCATCGTGACTTCTATCGTGGCTGACTACCTTTTCATCCTCACCAATCATCTCTCACTGGCGCCCCGCTAGTGTATACCGATAGCGCAGGCGGGGATACCATTTCATTATCATCCAAGAGAAAAAATCTGCAAGAGTTCCTTCCAGCGAACCCAAAGTGGAAAGGAGCATCAATGATAGCAGGTAAAGACGGCGACAATACTGTCATATACACATACATAGACAATACTATATTATTTATATATATATATATATATATATATATATATATATATATATATATATAATAAAAAAATATATAATAATAAAAATATTTAGGGATTGACTCTCACAGACGGGCATGGGAAGAGAGTTCTATACTCCAGCAGTGTGACGACTACCGTTTCTGTTTGAGGAGCAAAAATAAATAAATCTACGCAAACAAGCAATTCCACGTTTTAAATACAAATATTTACATTATAGAATATACGTATCTACTAAACATCGTTTGTCGGCGTATGTTACACGATACCCTTGTGCTGGTCTCGTACTATTTGTTACTATTGAAATAGATAGATAGATAGATTCTCTTTATTGGTTCCTCCAAAAGATTACAATAATAGCTATAAAAATAGCTACTTTTTTTAAGGGCAAAAAGCGATTGCAAAAAGTGTTCTGTTTTATTTTGCAATGGATACGTATTTATAGGCATTATCTCATAATAATTTCAATCATTACCTGTCCACTGCTGAACATAGGCCTCCTACATAGTTTTTTTTATGCAACTTAGAATGACAAACAAGCTGACGGCCCACCTGATGGAAAGTGGTAACCGTCGCCTATAGACATGAGCAGTACCATGGACATAACAGGGTATACTGTTTCGCCCATGATACCCCGCATGCGTTGCCATTCTTGAGGCTTTAGGTGTTATTCCTCTATACCCTGTAAATTCACTATCATATCCCACCTTTCGAACCGAGGGGGAAGGGATTGTTAGTAATGAGAAGGTTAGTCCTCATTGCTGTTAATATACCCTATTAGGTCGACCTCCACGTGATTCCTCTTGGAAAGTATCGTGATTAATATATCGTTGAATTCGTCACGATGGGCTAACTGAACTGCCTTTTTATCCTCACCAGTTATCCCTTACTGGTGCCCTGCCAGTGTATACCGATAGCGTGGGCAGGGTTACCATTCCATTATCATCCATAAAAATACTGTTTCGTCCATGATACCTCCCATACGTTACCATTCCTGAGAACTCAAATGTTATTCCTCTGTACCCTGTAAATTCACTGCCATATCTCACCCTTCAAACCGAAACACAGCCATGCAAACACAATTGTTTCACTGTAGAAACACGAATGGGACAGAGGTGCCCGTGCCTTTGTACAAAACGACTTTTGTACAAAGTCTCCCTCTGGTGACTATAGATTGCCTTAAGGAATAAAGATAATTTGAATTTTGAATGATCATAAGCCACCTGCATCCACTGACTTTCTGCAATGCATTTGAGGTATCTCTATCTATTGGAGAGTCGTCTTGCACTACGCTTACCCGTACGGGGTCGCCACAAGGATAAGTAGTTTCTTAGGAAAGGAAAAAATCGGACAATGCAACGTTCGTTAGGTCAATTGGTACGAATTAATATTTAAAAGAAAGAGAGATATTCGATACAGCAATAACAGTTACTGCTTCAAAAGTTTAATGCGATATATCAACAAAATAAAGTTTACGTATATGTATGTTTATGTATTATTTTTATTTTTATATTTAGAATATTTTGCATTTTGTTTGACTCCTTTTATGCATTCACTGTATCTGACTTGCGCCATCTACCTTTCTCTCTGTACTTATCCATCTTTATGCCAGGTTGTCTGTAAGAGATTGCATTTAGCGATAAGGCCGCCTCTTGTATATGCACATTCTGTATAAATACTCCTTGTATACATCTCTACTGTGCGCAATAAAGAGTTTATTATTATTATTTACTTGTACATTCTTCAGCATCGTAAACATTATTGGTATACTTTCGTCTTTCCATTATACTTATATGAAAGAAGTTATTTGCGATACCACACTCTTAAGGAATCACAACGTATTTCATATTTTGGTTTGCGTTCAATATTATTATAACAATACAATAGTATACAGATCACTGAATATCTTATATCTCAATTCAAATACGCTGCCTTCGATATCATTAATAAACATTTCGCGTATCTTAATAGCAAGGGGATATTCAATACGCAAAACGGGCAACACTTCGGCGCAGAAATATGAACTAATGAGTGTTCTGCGAGATCGCTATAGTCATTCGCGTGTAACTTATCATGTCCGGGCGAGGGAACAACACGGCTCGATGAGTAGGCGACTTTAATTTCATTTACAAATGCTCCAAATAGAATTGTGGCGAATACACACCGATGGAATCCAATCAACGTTCGACGGATTCACATTGACGGGAATGTCGCTTGTTTATATTCTAAATACTATTGTTTATATTCTAAATTTAAATGTTCAAATTTATTCTAAATTTAGATTTAAAGTGTGCTGTTCTTTTTTTAATTTTAATTGTGTATTTGAAAACGTAAAATTAACTAAATTTTATATATATTTTTAAATACCCAATCGGGAGTTAACGCTACGAAAAAGATTTTAAAGGTAAATAGTCCCTACATACCTGCTTCTTTATCGCCGACATTTCGACGTAGATTTGTGGAAACGACGTGAAAAGTTTAAAATTAACTAAATTGTATACTCCAATATTGACTTAAATTATAGATTAATGGTAGTACTAGACGACCTTGTATTGGTTTTATTACTGTTAAAGTAGATTTTCTTGGAAGAAAAATCTGATTTATATTATGATCAGTCTGTAGTCTAGCTCTATTAA